TTTAAATTATCATTCTCGATGCCGCTAGAGCTGTAAGAAGTGGGCCTTGCTTATGAACTGTTCCGAGGTGTAAATTGGTACAGGCTCCAGAAAACAAATGCAAAGCTGCCGTATCCAGCCTTCAAATTATTTCAGCTGCATCCCATTTTATTTTATTTTATTTTTTTTATGAATCCCCATGTTGCCTGGGCATATCCTCACAGCATTCTCAAAATGAACAAAGACTAAATCAAATGTTGATTTTGAGGGCGGAATTTTTCTAGGGAAAAAAAAAATTTTTTGTCTAGTGGCACAAAACAATATCCTTCAGTTTGAGTGAAGTTAATTGCTTCTCTCCGAAGTTTGATCTTGCCTCTCTCGGAGGCCACTTTGCACAGGAAATAAAGACCTTCCTGTCTGGAGGGTCCCCAAAGGAAGGGGCAGGAAGCTGAGCAGAGCTTCCCCAAGACAACAACGGGAACAGCTCCCGCCCAACCAAGGGGCTCCTCCACCACCTGCTCCAGGTTTCTCTGCAACAAAGTCCCATGACTATATGTTCCAGGTCCACAGAGGGCTCCCTGACGGACAGGTGTCTGCCACACGTGCACGTGGCCATCATGTGGGTATCTCTAGGTGACAGAGTCTTCTGATTTTCTGTGGATGGATCCATCTGTACAATGAACAAGCACCACATTTATAATCATAAAAAAGATTTTTATTTTAAAGGAGACAAAAGGGGGGATAGCAAGAACAAAGCACAGAAATAGAACTGAGAGGAAAGGCAGAGGAAATGTCAGGACATTCAGAGGCTAGAGCTTCAATAGCAGGTGGATTGGGTGGAATCAGACAGCGAGGGTCCAAAATTATCTACATTGAAAGAGCATTTATTGCTAGAGGCAGTGAGGAGCCAGGAAGCCTGAGAAGGTCACACCAGGTGGGGGCACAGTTGGGAGAGAGCAAGTTCTTTGGAGAAATCATTGGGCTGCTGAGTCCACCCTTACCTGAAGCCTACCCCACCTCTAGACTTTTCCAACACATGCACCAATAAACTCTCTGTACTTTTTAATCCTCTCTGAATCCGATTTTCCATTACTAGTAACAGAAAGTATTACAACTCGTAGAATTTCAGAGGAAATATGGCTTGAGCCGGATATGGGCCTGCCACTTTCTGTGTCAATCAAAGTAGGCCCTGAACCACGCACCAAGCCTTCATCTTCCTGTTGGGTAGAATGGGATGCTCTTGGATTCTCACCAGCATAAGGACAAGCATTTTCTGTGTATAATAGACACCTGGATGAGCATAAGATCAGAGTTTGACCAAGTCCAACTTGCAGGCAGAAGATCCACGCAGGCTGTGCTGTGCCTGAGATCTGCAGAGGACAGCCCCATCAGAGAAGGACTGGCCACAGGAGTGCCTCTCGGACACCTGTGTGCGTAGGAAAGGGGGTGCTATTACCCTGCCTGTCCTGATTCAATAGGTCTGAGGTGGGCCCAAGACTCCACATTTCCAATAAGGCCCAGGTGGTGCTAAGGCAGCCGGAGTCGGGTCAAGGCACGCCCCTCCCTGTGGCTCCCTGCATCTGGTGTCAGATGTCCCCTCCCCACTGCCCTTCCTAGCTGGGTGACCTTAGCAAATTACTTATCCTCTCTAAACCTGATGTGTGGTGGTGGGATAACGACAATGCCAACCCGTCAGGACTGCTCTGTGAAGGCGGCTTAGCGCCCGGTGCCTAGTACGTGCTCAGTAAGCAGGAGCCATTTCCCCTTCTTCTAACCCAGCAAGAAGCCCCTGTGGTCTAGGATTTGAGTGATGCTACAAGTCAAGGCCACTTTGTTCTTAGTTAGCCAAGAATAAATGAAATGCAATTAAAAATCTCTTTCGGAACCTTTCAAAGCACATCAAAGGTGATTTCATTCCGCCCCTGGAGCCAAACTCCGGAAACACAACTCTGGCTTCCACACTGCTGGAGCCCGGGACTTCCTCTCCTCCTCACCTTGGCCCCACATAAAATGTGCGCCGATTCATGCATCCGCGAGGCTCCCCGGCCTCCTTCTTGGTTTGGCCTTTGTGTTGGGTGTGGGCAGCACTCAGTTTTACTTGGTGTCTGACTGCTCCCCAGATTCTACACAGCCAGGAGGACCAGTAGGTGGCTGAGCATGTCCATCGGGTCTCCTCTGGTGACCAGTGGAAAAACGCAACCCCAGCTCATGCAATAAAGGGGACTTTGAGGCCGCATCACTCGGCTACCCAGGAGTCAGGAGGACCGGTACAGAACGGGGCTGGCTCGGGACCCGGCTCCTTCTCCTCCCGCTGCTCTGCCTCCCCTGGACTAGCATCATTTTCTGGCTCCTCAAGAAGCTGGTCAGATCCGGGGGAGAGTGTCTGCCACCTTAAGAGTTCAAATCAAAGGCCCAGCATTGAGGTTTGCTGGCTCTGATCCGCCCATCATTAAAGTGGACCTCTCTAGACAGGGAGGAAACAGACTTTAAAATGGTGATGTTCTAAGAAAACTGTGTGGATGGTCTGAATGAGTCAGCTCAGGCTGCTGTGACAAAATACCATAGACCCAGTGTATGAGTCAGCTCAAGCTGCTGTGACAAAATACCATAGACCCAGTGTATGAGTCAGCTCAGGCTGCTGTGACAAAATACCATAGACCCAGTGTATGAGTCGGCTCAGGCTGCTGTGACAAAATACCATAGACCCAGTGTATGAGTCAGCTCAAGCTGCTGTGACAAAATACCATAGACCCAGTGTATGAGTCGGCTCAGGCTGCTGTGACAAAATACCATAGACCCAGTGTATGAGTCAGCTCAGGCTGCTGTGACAAAATACCATAGACCCAGTGTATGAGTCGGCTCAGGCTGCTGTGACAAAATACCATAGACCCAGTGAGTTAAACAACATGAATTTATGTTCCCACAAGGTTAAAGGTTGAGACAGGGGAGCCAGAATGCAGGGCTCTGGGGAGGGGTCTTTTCCTGGCTTGCAAATGGCCACTGTCTCCTTGTGTCCTCACACGGTAGAGAGAGCCAGTAAACGCTCTGGTGCCTCCCCTTATGAAGATACTAGTCATGCAGGCCTCACCCTCAGGACCCCGTCTGATCCTAAATACTTCTCAACTGCCCTCTGTCCAAACACCGTCCCACGGGGGATTAGGGCTTAGGATTTAGCTCAAAACATTGGCCTTGTCAGAGTCTTTCCTACTTTCCACTGAAGCCCTCACCCCTGCCCTCACCCCACTCCACTTGACCCAGCTGCTACCCCTGGCTACCCAAGGAGCTGCTCCTACAGAGCGCCCCCTTGTGCTCACACAACGAACCTCGCCCTTTCCCCTGCTGATCTGCCTGCTGTAGGTTAATCTGCAGGCCCTGGCCCCTGGCACCTAAATGGGTAAAGGAAAAGTCAAGCATTGAAAGGTTGCAAATCCGTATTTCTCATTTCCTTAGTAAGGCTCCCCGGAGGACCAAGAATGTCCTCGGCCATCTCCTGGCGGGCGCACAGGGAGCACCCCAGGCCAGCTCTTCCTTCCCCTCAGTGTGCACAGCGTAAGCCCCTCCCAGTCACGGCTCCTCCGACTGCCCCTCTATCTTCAAGAGGGCCTTGTTTTTAGGGCTCCCCAAACTTGCTGGGGTTTGTGGTGTGCGTGTGTGTGTGTGTGCGTGTGTGTGCGTGTGTGCACATTACTGTTGTTTTTCGTCCATAGATAGAAATCTGAGTCCTCCAGTCGGGACAGCTTGACCCTGTGTTTGGGGTGTTACTTGCCTAATGGGCCTCCGGGGTGGAGGAGGCTGGCGCCCACTTTCAGGGTTAAGGTAAAGACAACAGGAGCCAGCAGCTGGAGACAGAGAGGACACACGTTCTGCATACAAATGAAAATGCCTCTGACATCATGACTGCTTTTAAGTACTAGTAAAATCCCCTCTCCCAGGGGCACTTCAGAGGGCTGGGGGCCTGGACTCCAGGAGGAGAGGCCCAGAGACCTGCTGGGGACCTAGACCTACACCTCGGGAGGGAGGTGAGTGTCCAGTGGGCCTGGAGTGATTCCAGGAGGGGACACCACAGCCCCGGGCGCAGGCAGGACTCCTGAGCTCCTCTCCCAGGTTGCCACCCCCTCTGCCTGCCCCAAGACCCGGAGAAGTGTGTGGGACGTCCCGTCTGCGGGACGCACTGCTGCTGGGTAACAGCTGGCTGGGGCTTGTAGCTTTTGCTGGTTCCCGGGGTGTGAACGCGCCCTCCAGGGCCATACCTGCCGGCTCACAGAATTCCAGCTGCGTACCCACCAGCCCGTGCAGGCCCGTCCTGCCAGCTCCGGGCCTCTCTGCTGTGCCTGTTACCCTAGGGGCACAAGTACACAGAGGGCAGGAACAGCAGCCAGGGACCGGGTTACAGGGTGGCAGAGGGGCCCAGCAGAGGCCAGCTGATAGGCTGGGAGGACCTGAGATGGAAACCCGGGTGTGGCTCCTGGGGTTCCCAGGAGCCCTCGGAGTGGGAGACCAGGGTTCCTGTGGCCAGCGTTACCTGGGAAGCTGGGGCCAAGTGCTCAACCCCATGTGGTTGTGTGCTGCTGACCCTTGGTGTTCCCTACCTCATGCCCCCTGCCTGAAACCACCTGAGAGTGTGCGTCTGTGGGCACCTAGAGCCACATGGGAAGGAGCAGGCACTCTCCGGTGGCTCTACGTAACTGTTGGGGATGGCATCCGAGGTGAGCGTCCCTGTGTCCCTGTGTGTGTCAACACAGAGGACTAAACCATTTCAATCATGGCCAGAAACAGCCGCTGCTCTAGCCACCTCCCTTCACCTCGTCCAGTACCTGGGCAAGGTGGAGAGAGGTGAACCAAGAAATGGAGAGACCTGGGAAAACAAAGCCATTCGTTTAATGAAGCAATCTGGTCCCCTCCCTCCAGGGCTGTGCAATGAATAAATTTGCAATCACCATCTCAAGGGTGCAAGAAATGGTGCATGACTTTATTTTCCTTAAGTCAAATTCAATCTGACTCCAAGCCCCATCCCATGAGAATGCCAAGAAGCACAATCTTGTTCCGTGTTAGGGCTCCCTCCCCGCCACCTCCCTCCCCAGGGTCATATGAAGGAGACAGCGATTCTTGCCAAAGTAGAACTTTGGGGGAGTCTGTGGTCTATGCTGCTCCCCAGAAATCCAACAGCCCAGGGCCCCCATGCTGGGTTAAGGCTTGGGCTCTGCCAAGGCAGGAGGCCTGCTGTGTGGCCCTCCACGACCCACAAGCCCACCCACAGGGCACCGCAAGAAACCGGCTGCAGAGCTCAAAGGACGCCATCTCCTTGTTCCCCTTAGGGACAATCTGCCCTTTTCCTGCAAATCCTCAGAGCTCGCTCTTCCCCAGCTCTGCAAGTGCCCTACGGCGGCGAGCAAGCAGAGGATCCCTGGGCGGGGAGTGGCAAACCCGAGGACCAAACCAGACAGCTCCAGACCTCGGATTTCTCCACTGAGTGAACACAACACCCAGATGAGCATCCCAATCCCTTACCATGTCGCCTGTGATGGGGAGAAGAAACGAAGACATTAGGAGGTTGGGGGGCGGAGATGGGTTCCCGATGTGGGTGGGGGTAACTGCAGTGGTGGCTGAGACAGTCCCGAGTTGACAGAGGAGCAGTGGCCCTCCCAGGACGGCTTCCCGTCTTCCCACTGAGATGGGAGGACTCCACTTTCCAGGGCTGATTCCCTCCTGGAAGCACCGAGCCCCCTCCCAGGCCCCTGGTCTGAGCTGTCAGGTCACCTAAGAATGTGCCAGTCTCTCTCCTCCCTGCTCCCAGCCTCCTACCTGCCTCCGTTCCAGGCCCCCTTCAATGCCCCCGGCCCAGCTCCTGTTTGCTTGCTATGCATGGCAGAGGAGAGGGATCACTCTGGGTCTGAGGGACTAAGACAAACTCACCAGAGACGGGAGAAAGAACAGGACCCCTGGGGTCACTTCCCCGCTGGAGGAGGCCAGTATCACTGCGGGAGTCCAGCAGGGCTGCCCCCTGAAAACGTGGCCATGATCAGAGCTTCCCACTCCCTGGTTGCTACACCCCATCCTCCCAGCAACCGAGGGACAGATGTCCGGGGATCAGGGTGTAATGTCTGGTGACATCTTGAACCCAAACCTGTGGCTCAGGAAGCCTTGTCCTCCTTCTCAGCTCAAGAAGTCCACAGCAGCCCAGACTCCCTTCAAGCAGCTTCCAGGGCTGGGCCCCCATCTCTTCTCAAAGGACCCTGGCCACAGATGTAGGAAAACCCTGCAAAAATAACAACAATAACTGTAATGAACCGAGCGTCTGCCTCGACTGGTCTCTTCTTAGCCGCTCTGAGCATGGGAGCCTCCCTTTTACAAAGAAAGGAAGCCCAGAAAAATCACCTAGCTGTCTCTGTGTCGCGCCTTCATAAGCCCAAGCCAGAGCAAGCTTCTAGCGTCAAATGCCCTTCCAGGTGGCCACGCTGTGACGCAGCAGGGGCCAAACACCTCCTGCCCACACCTGATTAGTTAGCCTGGAGTCAGAGACAGATCCCGCCCGCTCAGACTGCGAGGGGCACAAGTGGGGTCCACACACAGCCACAGGCAGTGCCCGGGAGGTCGGCACCACCCAGACTTGCCTCTGTCCACTGAGGCACTGCTTCCCAGAGGGAGTGGCTGCGGCAGCCCTGGAGGATGCTGTTAAGGTCAGGTGTGGGGTGGGCGAGTGTGGGGTGGGCAGGGAGGTCCTGCGTTCCTAAGAGCGGTCAGCAATGCGGATCTGCATGTCTGTGGCCACCTATCGAGAAGCCCGGATTGAGGGTTCCTCCAATTTTGAGAGGGTTAAACTGACGTGGTGAGCTGACCAGGACATCTCCGCCTCCTCCAAGTCCCTCTCTGGGCTCTCAGAGGGGCTGCAGATCCCAGAGGCCTGTGTAGCCTCTGACGGGGACTTGGATGCCCCAACCAGATGGCTCACATGCAATGGGACCTCACCACGCTTCACGCTGCCATCCCCGGCACCAGAGCAGCTTAGGGGACCGGAGGGACTAAGGAAAGTAACACCCTCATAGCCGGGGTGGGGGGTGAATAATGAAAGTCGGATCCATAAGTAATTACTTTTTAATTAATTAGGAATGATGAAGAGTAAGGACCAGCACTCGGGCGGAGGGCGTTAACTGTAATAGCTTTCTTCCTCGCTCTGCTCAGATTGATTTGCTCAGGCGGAGGCAGAGGTGGGGGATCTCTCTGGGTCTGGGGGACAGAGGAGAGCAAGGCAGGGAGTGAGGGAGGGACAGACCCTCCCGGATGGGACTGAGCTCCAGGAAGCGGGGCCAAGCCTGGGGGATTCTCTCTCTCATCCCCGGGGAAGAGACAAGTAGGAGGAAAGGGCCGTCTCCCCCTTTCCAACTCTGCAGACCACCTAATTAATCTCCACACCCCTCCTGGGAGACGAGAGATGATGCCTCCCCTTCCCCAAGCAGAGGCAAAGTGGCTGCCCTGTCCAGAAGGGACTGCTCAGGCAGGCTGCCAGGGAAGCCCTCCCCAATCACAGGACCCACCTTTGGGTGGGAGAAGGAGTAAGGACAGGTGACCCTGGACGTTTGGAGGGGTCCACACTGCTTCCTACTCACCCAGGGCCCTGAGCAGTGTGAGCCAGACCCGCTGCCCCGGCCACTCCTGTGTGTGATGAATGGGGCCTGGCTCCTGGTCCCCACCCCACGGCGGGAGGAATCACGTCATTGATACTCTGCTTCTCCTTTGGTAGAGGAGGCCACACGGGATCTCAGAATATATACACCTGACAGCGTCAGCTGTGGGTCCCCACTCCTCCCCTCCCCCACGGGGCAGCCCCCCCCCAGGGCCCCTCTCCGGGCTCCATCACAGTGGGAGGGCCTCCACTTTCCAGGCAGGAAGGAGAAGGCGAGGGTTTTCTTAAGCCTTTGGAGGGAGGCTGGGGCAAGCCTGGGCAAGCAAGAGAGGAATCACCTCCCGCATCAAGTTTCAGCGGGAGCCCCACAGCTGGCACCTCTGCCCATGTGGTCCTGCTAACGGGTGAGCTTGCCGGGGCCTCGCCCTGGGCACACGGGCATTGCAGAGCACCTGTGAGCTGAGGAAGCCCGATCCAGAGCACGGGTGTCCACCCAGTGTCGGGCACCTTGAGGAAGGACAGAGAATCAGGTGAGGAGAGGACTAGGGTTTATCTAGCACGGTCTCCGCCAGGCCAGGAGAAAAGCTTTCTGGCCCCCACTCCCAGGGCAGCTCGGTTTCCCTGCCTGCACAGAATGGACCAGGGGAAAGCACCCGCGACACATGAGCCACCTGAATGCTAACGGAGGACCAGGAATCCTAGCCCTACAAGACCCTGCCTTGACGGGAACTTGGAATAATTCCTTCTTTATGGATTTCCTTTTGAATTCAATTTTTATTTTTAAAAAACATATATTGCATTAAAACAATACCTACCTTGATCACTGAGATTTTAGCAAGTGCCAACCGCTGTCCATTAAATCTGGTGCCCAAGGTCAGCACCTCACTTAACTCACAGTCTGTACTCCCAGATCCCAAGAGGAACGTGCACACTACACCCGGGGCCACACAGGGAGGCACTGGGGCTGTCATGAGATGGGAACGGGGGGCTTTAGGTGGGGGCTTCACCGCAGTTTCCTTGGGAAGGGATGGCAAGCAGGGTAAGCAGGCATGGGATCCTTAGTTTGAATAATTTGGGTGGACTCGGGGACATAGGACTGTCCCTACTATTGGCATCTGGTCCTGGGGTAATTAGGGCAGGAGGGTAGTGGCTGGGAGTGTGAGGGCCCAATAAGGGAGGGGCTGGGGTGGCGGCGCTGGATGGGTTGCTTGGTAATTTGAAGAACTCACGCACCTCGCGTTAGGAGGCTCCCCAGGGGATGGGGGGGCCAGGGAGGCAAGAAGCCAAGGCAGGTTGACTCCAGTTGTCCAGAATAAGGCGTGTCCCTCTGCACGTGCGGGAGATGTGGGCACCTCGATTTACAGAAGCAGGAACACACTTAACCCTCGCTGTGCAGTTGAGGTGGTCCTCTCATTAAACCCTCAGTCCAGGCTTCCTGCAGGCCCTGCCGAAACCAAAGGCAGCCATGACAATCTCCTTTGTCACGAGGATGCCTGGGTCTTCTTCAGTCATTGAGTAAACCTGAAAAGAATTGGGTCCCTTTGGGACACACCTGCGGCGGGGGCGTGAGCATCAACAGTCACAGGTGATCGCACGACGCACACACAAACAGACCCTGCAGGTCTTCACAGCTGTCCATGGGAAAGCAGGGGCCAGCGAAGGCAAGAGGGATGGAGTGACCAAGTCCCCTCCCCTCCCCTAAGAAAGCGGTCTCTGTTCCCTGCGTGCCGCCCAGGCCTGAACTCGCGGCTGGAGGTCTGGAGTGGAGGGTGTGCTGAGCATGCAGCTCAGAGCTTGGAGGCTCACGATGATCAGATTTAATAATTATTAGTGATCTGCAGGTTTCTACAGCAGATGAAATAATTGCACAGGAGAGCTGGAGGGAGGAAGAAAACCATAAATGCCTTTTCCTTTCAGCATTAAAACAGCAAAGCTATGGAGCTCGCTGCAATTAATTAGCACTCTGTCCCATTAGCACCTCCTTCTACCCACCCGAACAATGCAGGCCCAGGGAGCAGGCAGCTCTGGCTGTAGCCGCCAAAACCAAGGAGCCCTGGCCTGGGCAGAGCCTGGGGAGGGAGGGGGCAGAGGGTAGGAAGGATGCCCAGTTGGGAGGGTTGCCTAGAGATAGCTGCTGCTCCACAGACCAGGGGACCAATCTCCTGGCCCTGAGCCAGCCATAGCAACCAGGGAACCGGCCACACTGAGAAATGCCGGCTGCCCACAGAGAGCCAAGGAGACGAGGCTGGGCTCCCAGGTCCTGACGCACAGGAGCTTGGCACCCGCTGCCAAAGCAGGCTTTGTGGTCATGTGACCAGCCCAAACCTCCAGGATCCTGTCTTCAAACGGACCCCACAACTGGGGCTTGGTGCTAGGAGACTGGCTTCCGAAAGTCGTTGAGGGTTTGTCTTTGAATACGTGGTTTGTGGGTGAAGTCCGTGGAGAACACACAAGGGACCTGGGACTCTCGGGTGGTGGCCCTTTCTCTGTTTCCTCACCTCCCTGCAGTGATTCTCAGCGGCCCACCCATCCCCTCCCATCCCCAGAGAGGGCCAGGTGCCCGGGGCCAGGGCCAGGGTCTGTGGTTCCTTCCCCCAGCTGTGAGTGGGGCCCAAGCCCCGTGAGGCTCTGCACTCAGGCTGCCCCTGGCAGAGGAGGGAAATGAGGCCCCTGGCCAGGTCAAGAGCCAGACGATGGAAGAAAGGCCTGGTTCCTGGTGGACGGACTCAGGTGGGCGGGCCCGGGCAGGATGGGACTGTTCCTCCACCTGAACTAGCTGGGTACCGCCTGGTGTCAGCTCCACAGGAAGGAGCCGGAGTCAGGGCTGTTCACTTCCTGGTTCTGCCTCTTAGCGCGTCACTTTTATAAGTCCATGAAAGTCCCGGGGCCCCCCTTCCTCAGCTGTAAAACCCGTGCCTTTGACAGAGAGGGAGGGGGATAGAGGATGGAAGGCCACAGGGGGCCGGCCAGCGAGCAGCGGAAAGAGGAAGGCCAACAGGGGCACCCAGAGCAGCGCCGCCCTGAGGGCCACCAGGGTCCGGCCCACTGGGGAGCCGGGTGGCACGTCGCTCGGAAAGACGGGAAGCCGAGACCTGGACCCACCAACTCCCATCCCCTGAGGGGTCTCCTCCCCTGGGCGCCACGTACACCAGCTGGCGGACGCAGCGGCTCAGGGAAATGTCCAGAAAGGGAAGCCCATGATAGTGTTCAACGTGGTGCCCCGGGCACAGGCGAGCCAGGACTGGGGCCCAGACCGTCTGCTCCAAGAGCCCAGCTGCAGCAAGAGTCCAGGCTGGAGGACTGCAGGCAGGAAGTCGTGGCCCAGCAGTGACCAGTACTGACCATCCCAGCCCTGTCCCTGTGTGAGGCTCAGCTGAGTACAACACTGTCCCCCTTGCATGTCCAGGCTCTGGGGCTCAGGCCTCTCTTTGGGGCCAGTGGGGGCTGGGAGGGCAGCCCAGTCAGCTCCACTGACCACTGTGGGGACACCATCTTCCCTGTGGGGTCTGGTTGGGTTTTGCCCAGTTTCCTGCAAGAGCAGACCCCCACCTGAGCCTGGACAGCGAGCCATCACCTGTGAAGCAGAAGGGGACGCAGTGCACACAGCACGGACACAGCGAGTGGGTAGAAAAGGGGCCTAGGAGGGTGGGCTGAGGCAGGGCAGCTGGGCGCCCCCAAGCTCCATCCCCTGGACACCCCCCCACCCCATGTAAATCACCAGAGTTTGTGCTAAGGGCCACGCTGACTGAGCACTGGAGTCCTGCGCCCTATTCTGGGCTCTTCACAAGGGCTAAAGCTTCTAATCTTGTTACAGTCAGGATGTGGAGTGTCCCCAGGAGCTTATGTGTTGAGGCCTGGTCCCCGATGGTGGCACTCTGGGGAGGCATGGGAACTGTGGGAGGCAGGACCTGGTTGGAGGAAGAAGATCGTGGGGGTGTGCCCTGGCAGGCTTGATGGTGTCCCCAGTCCCCGCCCACTCGCTCTCCCTCTCCCTCGCTCTCCTTCCTGGTTGTCCTGAGGTGGGCAGTCCACTCCACCACACACTCCTCCCTGTGACGTTCTGCCTTGCCAGTGACAAGGCCAGATGGTCTCCAGTGACAAGGCCAGGTGATCATGGGCTAAAACCTCTGAAGCCATGACCCCAAATTTTCTTTCCTCCTTTAGGGTGTTTTTCTCAGGTATTTGGTCACAGTCGCAGAAACCTGACTAACACAAATCCCTACATCACCCTACGGTGCGCGTTATGAGTTCCACTTTACAGGTGAGGAGCCTCAACAACGGAGATGGTGAGAACCTGCCCAAGGAGCCACAGTGGGTCCAGGGTACAGCGTGGATCCAAAACCCCCATCCGAACAAAAGATGTGTCCCTCCCCTCTGTAAAATAGGCCCAACGACTTCTGCTCTGAAGCCATGGGTGGAACAACAGTGTGGGAGTGATGGGGAGCAGAACCCAGTGTGCCGGGGCCTCGGGGAGCAGGACAGGAAGGACAGGCCTCGGCCGGACTCCAGGCCTCGGGTTCTTGCTCACTCCTCCACACCAGCTGGGGTCTCCGTCGCCAGCCTCCTCTGCCCCCCAGGAATGCAGAAGCCGCGACACAACTGGGGACAAGGGCCCTGCCTCGTGGCAGAGCGTTCCCTGGAAGAGATCCAGAAACCGAATGCCCCAGGCAGCCTGCACCAGGGCACTGCGGGATCACAGAGTGTGCCATCTCTGATGTCCACAGCTCTCCTTCCTGCCCAGCCCTGGAGGGGGGCCTCAGAGCCACAGCACTCAGAAACGAACCCCTTCCCGCCCAGCCCTTCCTGAGGCGAAGAGACCCAAGTCTCCAGCAGAGGAGTCCTGGGCCTGGCCGCGTCCAGCCCTCGCCAAACCCGGAGGCCGCCCAGGACCGCTTTTTAATTCTTTCGCAATCAGCATTTTCCTTTCTTCATTTGCTGGTTGAATGACGCAGCCTGTAAGAAAAGGGCCCTCAGCACCATCCGGGCGCTCGTTTACAATGGAGATTGGGAAAAACGGAGAAACGCATCCTGCAAAATGCATTTAAAAGAAGATGATTCAATTGGATTTGGCAGCTCTGATATTCAGGACCAGAAGGAGAAAATCTGTCTATGATTTGAACATGTATAATTAAGATGAAAGCCGTAAGTACCGGGTGCATTTCTTAAGATGTCACCAGCTCTGTTGACTCCGGGCGTTCTGATCAGTGGTGCAAAGCATTTATTTCTGAAATCTGAATAGCTATGAGTGAGATGGCTTTTTAAAACCAGCACCACGGAGCCAAGTCAGACCCCGACACTGCGCGGCTCATCAAAAGGGGCAAAGGGCCGGGGGCGGGGGGGGGAGACAGGAGAGCGAGGAGCCCCTCGGGGTGGGCTCTGATCTTCCCCTGAGGTGCATCCCTAAACCTCACAGCCTGAGGTAGTCAAATCCCAATCCATTCTTTGTGTCCTATTTCGGTTCTTCTTCTGGTACTAAAGGAAGTGCCAGGGCCCTGGGAACTGCTCCATCCTGAAAATAGTTCCTTTTGACTGTTGGATTGTAGGGTTTCAGAGAGGCAGCCTGCGGCAGCAATCCCCTCACCATGGTTTCTCTTCTGTGGCTTCAGTTACCCACAGTCAACCAAGGCCCAGGAATGTTAAATGGAAAGTTCCAGAAACAAACAGCTTAGAAGTTGTACGTAGTGGGCCATCTGTTCGACACCATGAACTCCCTCGCTGACTCCCTTCCTGCCCCCGGGACATGAATCATCCCTGTGGCCAGTGTATCCAGGCTGTATATGCTACCCGCCCAATTGTCACCTCGTGGCCACCTAAGGGCCTCGATGGATCTGTTATGGAGTTGCCGTGCTTGTGTTCAAGTCGCCCTAACACAGTGTGCACACTCACTCACCTCTCTTCACAGCCTCATGCAGGCCGGGGGTCATCTCCCATCACCACCGGAAGGAGGGCGAATGCAGTGCAGAGAGAGATTTGGAGAGAGGAGGAAAGAGAACGAGGCGACACTCACAGCACTTGGTTTTCTTCCCAGCTGTTCTCATCTCGGACTGTTCCTAGTTTACAAATTAAACTTCATCACTGGTGCACACGCCTAGGGGGAAACAGTGTGCGTGGAGTTTGGTCCCATCCAAGATTCCGGGTGTGCCCTGGGGGTCTGGATCACTTCCCCCACGGGTGGGCCTGGGGGATGACTGCCTTGTAGGAATCGGAAGAATAGTCAGGCCCCGTCACCACCCCTTGCTAACGTGGGACCTGGAGCAGGTTCCTGGCCTCCCCGGGCACAGCTTCCTCTTTTATAAAATGGAGTGAAATAATGGAGTCTCCTGAGTCGGAGAATTAGAGCAGCTAAACGTGGTTAATTCCAGTATCTGGCCGCCCTCGTTAGACGTGGGCTGCGGTTCCCATTATCCTCAGGCCTGTCCCTCAAGTCACCCAAGTAAGCGCCACCACCCTATTCAGCCACTCTCATGGCCTCTGGGACTCTGGTCTTTGTTAAAAGTGGAGCGTCCTGACAAACCTCACTCGCAGCCCAAGATGACTCGTGACGGGACTGCTGGCAGCTTCACCGAGATGACTCACAGGTGCCAGGCACTAGGGCTGGGACCGATCACATGATCGTGCCTGTCATGTGACTCGAGAGCTCATCATCTGAGGGACTAGAATCCCCCGGGACTTCTTTGCCTTTTGAGATAAGAGAAGAGGGTGGAGGCCCAGAAATTGTGACCAAAAGAGTCCAGGCACCTAGTTCCTAGTGAGAGGCCCCAGCAGGGAGGGACCTTCCCACTGAGATTGGCAGGTGGAAACAGCAGGCCAGCTCTGCACAGGTGGGGAGACGGAGCATTCCGAGCTCATCAGAGAGCTAAGGCACAGTGAGAACCCAGCCCCTCCTGTGCCCAGTGCTGGGACAGACCATGGGCTGTGCCACCTGCCTGATGCTGGGGCACCAGAGCTAATGTAGGTAACTCCAAGTGTCCCCACTCGGCCTGTTCTTACCAGCTGTGTGACTTTCTAAAACTTACTTTACCTCTCTCTGTCTCTGTTTCATCGTCTGTAAATGGAGGCAAAAGTGTGTTTCTCAAAGAGGGACAGGGAAGTTGGCCTGGCAAAGCAGGAGGTAAGTAAATGTCCCTTCTCTTACCTTTTCTTTCCTGGCTTTTCGCTCACACCCACCTGCCTCTCTTTCCCCCCTTAAAGCTGCTCAGAAACACCCATGCCTCCCGGAAGGCTGGGCCTGCAGGATCATAGGGCACGGCACGGCCCCAGGCTCTGAGGACTGGGCAGTTCCATCCGACTGGGGGGCAGAGCCTGGAGAGAGGCCTCTGGACATAAGGAAAGTCCCGGCCTCTTCCCCAAGGGCAGTAAGAAGGGCCTTCGGCCTGCAGCCCAGAGTCTCCGGATGTGTGTATCGTGAAACGTTAATGTCTACCTTCCAATCAAGCTCAGCTCCTAGGAACCACAGCAGTCCCAACCAGAACAAGGAGAATCCAGGAAAACCCGGGGGGAAAGGCACACAGCCGAGGGCTCGGGGGAAGGGACACACCGCAGTGGCTTCTGAGGACGAGCATCGGACAAGGCTTAGGAAGGCTGAAGCTCAGGGCTTCGAGGCTGTCAAAAGACTGAGGACTTCCTGGCTGGGTGGGTCCCCGGTGCTGGAGCGGATGGGCAGCCTGGAGGTTGGCAGGCAAAGGGCCTGTGATGGTGTCTGAGCCGTGGTAACACCGGCCATGTCAAGTGGGGGTCCCAGGAGGGCCCAGGGGCCAGGGCCCGAGGTCCACGGTGGCCCCAGGTTCCCGGTGCCTCCCCTTCAGGCACACAGGACATCACCTGCCTCCAGCCACCTCACCCATCCAGGAGGCCAGAGCCAGCAGGGCCAGGACAAGTGCCCGGGGCTCCACCCCAGGGGTATAACCTAGGAGAGGAGGGAGAGCCACGCAGCCCCCAGCCCGGAGCCCCCCGCAGCACCCTGTGACAGTGAAACGCTTCTGGGGTCAGGTGTTTTGCCCCTTGTTTTTGTTCTGTCTTGCTTGGTTTTAAGTTTCCAAATCAAAATGGAATGGTGAGGAGGAGGGAAGGAGTCTGGCTCGATTTAAAAGGCCAGAAACTGAGCAGAGAGCAGAGCCTGTGGAACATTCTAGAAAGAGTTCACTCAAAAAGGGGTTCAATGCAGCACACTCCACCTGAAAAGAGGAAACCTGGCATCTGAAACGCTCTCGTACCCCCGGATCACAGTAGATAAAGGAGCCATTGTCCTTTGGGGGCTGCTGGGAGGCTGGCCTTGGGGAGCACTGGTTTGTGGGAACACGGAAGCATCCCTCATCCAAAGATCCAGCACCTCAAATGCTCCACAATCCAAAACGTTAGGAGCACCAGTGTGACTCCTCCGTGGAAAATTCTGCATCATGAAATGTTATTTCATGCACAAAATTATTGAAAACATAAAAAAAAAAAAAACCCTGCCTTTCGGCTGGTAATAGAAGGTGTACATGAAACACAAATTAATGTGGCAGGTTTGGGTCCCATCCCCAAGATCTCTCATTATGTGTGTATGCAAATATCCCCAGTCCCAGAATCCAGACACTGCTGGTCCCAAGCGTTTTGGAAAGAGGGACTCACTCACCATGAAGGCACGCCCTTCTCCTCCGGTGACTTCTGGCCTCCCACAGGGTGAGGCTGGGGCTTGCCGGTGACAGTCCCACTCCCTGGAGGAGGACTCTGCAGGTTGGCTCTGGAGCAGAGAAAGGGCTCTGTGGCCGTCAGGGAGGCTGGCCTGGCCACTGCTGGGCCGTGTGGCCGCAGGCAAAGTGTTGGAGTTCTTCGCAGAGCTGTTCCTGGTCTGCCCCGCAGAGGCCCCACCCCCTTCTGACAAAGCCACCTCCTACTAAAGGGGTGAAACAGCTGGGGGGTGCTCCTCTGGTCCTTCCAGCTCGGACATGAATGGGTCCTGGTCAGTGAGGACCTACAGAATCAGTTGGAAGTCTCTAGAAAAGACTGTCCTGCCGGACTTAAAAGAGGGGTGACTCAGGGGTAGAGCATGTGCTCAGCTTGCCCAGGGCCCTGGGTTTGATCCCAGCACCAGTAAAATAAAATAGGGAGGGAGAGATAGACAGACAGATAGATGGATAGAAGGATAGATAAGAGGGGAGGGGAGGACAGGGGTGGAGGAGAGAACCACAGGGAGGCCTGAAGCTTTTGCCACCAGCAGCTTTGGATGCAACGGGGGACTCAACACCACAAAGAGGCTGCCCAGAGCCCTGGCCTCACCGTGCCTCAGAGCAACCCCAGAACACTGTTCCCCGATTCTTCATTGAGGACAAAAATGATCAAAGTCACTTTTCGTTGGTGGTGTTTCTGGCACCCCAAGCCCTTATGGCTTAGCTAGAGTCAAGAGAGAGCAGAGGGAGTGACACTGAAGGGACGCCCCCAAAACACAGCAAACATGAAGTACAGCAAGGTACGTCCCTCGAGGGATGGCCACCAGACGTGGCCCCTCTTCTTATGGCCAGACCTAGGCCTTGGCCTCCAAACCCAACCATGTCTGTGAGGCGTAAAGGCCAGGTTCCCTGGGCCCACCCCACACCCAGGGGCCACCGGGGGCCAGGACTTAGGAGAAGCCTCGAGGGCCCAGAGGAAGAGGAACTGCCCAGGCAGCCCAGGAAGGCCGGGAGCAAACACGTGAGCGCGTGGAGCGGGAGGGACAGTGTCAGGACAGTGGCTCACAGGGCCCGGGAGCGCCTGACCCCTCCGGAGAGCACCGCCTCGCGTAAGGCCAGCGAGCTTCATTTCCAGCCCCTGATTTCATTAATAAGATAATGATGAGTCATTTAACTTTGCATCTGAAGAGTGAAGCAAATTACCTGTGTCGCCATTGCCTAATGACGGAGGCGCTAACAGGACCTTTGCCGCCTGCCAGAACCGCAGCTGGCCAACTGCAGGAGGCACCTTTATGCCCTGGGGTTTGCCAGTGCGCTCTGTGCCGGAGCCCCGCATCCCCCACCGCCCTCCCTAATCGGCTCTGGGTTTTTATAACCCGGTGATCCTGCGACCATGAGTTCCTCCCTGGGCATGAGCCGCTGGGCCCCCTCAGCCGACGCTGGGCACACAGGTGTGAAGCTCCGCCCCTCCTCACCCCCAGGAGATGCCAGCACTGCCCGTGGCCTTGGGGCGGAGGATGGTGAAGGCAGTCAGGGCACAGCCGGCCCCGAGTCTTCTGCGGCCAGAGAGGCTCTGGCCATTTCCACATTTCAGGGTCCCTAAGGGTTTTTGTTTGGTTTTTTCTTCTAATCACGATATAATTTCCAAATAGTGAAACTCACCATTTGTGAAAGTGGGTGGTTCTGAGTGTTTACAAATACATCGCCACGCAGCCACCACCACATTCAAGCCCATGCCACCCGCCACGCCCAGTGCCCTTGTGCCCATGACGGAGGGTCAGCTCTCCTCCCATGCCCAGCCCCACCCTGTGCTGTGGCCGGGCCATTTCCAGCGGGTTCTGTACACTGGGCGGCCCTTCCAGTCTGGTTTCTTTCATTTGGTCCCCTACGTTCCAGGGTGACCATGGGGTTTTGCACGCTGTAGTCTGCTCTGAGTGGGTGTTGGTGCTATTGCACAGTATGCATGGGTCACAAGGGGTTTGTAGGGTCAAGGGTTTCAGTGGGGACCTTGCTGTCCTGAGCCGGGCACTCAAATGTCTATTCTGTTGACCTGTCTTAAGAAAAAAATGGAGGTAGGCCTTCCATTATCTTTAATTTAGAGAAAGGAGCACGGGCCACACAGCTAGCAAGAGAGGACACAGGCAGGGTCCAAGCAGGCACACAGCGCCACCATCCCCCCCCCTCCCCGGCTCCCCTCTGCCTTCCAATCTGTTTCCAGTCATTTGCTGAAGCAGCAGCTCGGGCAGCCCCTTCCAGGGACCAGGGAACCCGCCCTGTGATGGGCAGCTGGGGAGAAGCTCAGTCCAGCCCTGCACCCTGGGGCTTGGGGTCCAGGCCCCTCCTGACGTGGGGAGGCCACTGGGCTTTTCTACACCTGACACTGAGGAGGCCACATTGGGTGGGTGGGTGATGGCCCAGAGGACCCTCCCCGAAGCGTTGGGAGAGAGAAGACTCAGGCAGCCCCAGCCTCCGGGAAGCGACCGGCAGCCGGAGACGTGGAGAAGAGGCCTCAGAGACGTTTCCCCAGCCCGCGTGCTCCTCAAACAACAAATCGCAGGTTTCACACACAGACCTGCCAGCCCCGGCCTGCAGCTAAACAGAGCTGCCCCCGCATCCAATGTCTCCATCACTTGAACTCGGGCCACAAAAGCAGAGAGGACCAGGGGGTGGGGGGAAGGAGGGGACAGCAGTCCAGCTATCACGGCCTGGTCTGTTCCATCCCCTGCCCTGAAGCCGGCCCTCCCCAAGGAGGCTGACACCCTCCCACAGCCTCCCCTGCCTAGGGAAGTCCTCCAGACCTTGCGGCATGAGCACCCATGGCCTGCAGGGCCCAGATTCTGCCTGGGAGCCCGGCTCCTGGGAAGAGCTTGGCTTCTGTGCCCTGAATTACACAGGGCACCCCCTACATTGAGGGTACACCCCGTCCT